ACTTGTTGCATATGGCTATAATATTAACATTTAGTTAAAATTCAAGACCTAAATTAAGAACAAATATCACGTAACGTGCTCGAGACCATTGCCTAGGGTGAAGGATTACAGATGACCAATATTAATCGAAATGCATATACCCCCTTTAAAAACACATGAATAACGCTTACTTGCGACTTTGTGTGTACATGCCAATAGCCTGACATGTGTAAATTGTAACCTCTATGATTGATGGAGATGTAGGTAGGCCTAATGAATTTTTAACTGAGAGCAAAAGGGTTTTTAATGCCCATCTGTCCCTGTAAATGCATCTGTGCAGATCATTGTACAGAGAGTAAACTAATATAGCGCAGAAGGCAAATTAACACAAGGAATCGATATTGCTTCAAATAAAATAATGTATGTATCTATTTACGAGACTATTTGGGTTTTGATTGCTTCCTCGTTCAAATACGACGTTGCTATGTATTGATCAGCTTACCAAGGTAGTTTTCTTCGCGTGAAAACAAACTTCAGCTTTCCGTCTACTTAAGCAGGCCGTCGGCCAATGAATGCAATACCGCTCTGCGTGAGCGCTTGACGATGAGATGCAATCTGCTAATTGTCGGCGGCAAGCTTAACTGATCGTCGTAAAATGGTCCGTCGCGCACGAATCGTCGCGTTGCGGGTCTCTATGAAATGGCTAGCCAGTACCTCGGCCAATGCGTAGTATGCATCCGGCTTTTCATATGTAAACGTTTCAGCTTATACTCTGCTTAAACTTTACGTTATTTTCAGTCTAAACTGGGGAAATTTTCAAACTTCTTGAACAAGAGTTTGGTGTCAGCTTAAAGCCTTGACTTCTGCTATACAGAAAACAGACAAATTAATGCAAATCTCCAAAATTACCACCACCACTACCTTACTGTGAACTTGTTACAAAATAATTAAATGCATATAACACATTTGCAACTGTTTATTTTCTCATTTGATCTCGCTGGAAACATTCTCCTGACACGGGTAAAACTACTATAAGAAATTAAATGGTTTTACTTTAAGTCTGATAATTGATGTGCATTAATACGTACGCTGTTCATCTACGCCCATGAGATGTATTAATGGCGAACAGTTCTTCGCCGCGTACATGTTTCCAACCAAGCAAATGCGAATCTAATTACGTTCAAACAATTTTAAAAACATAAATCACATATAGTTGATCGCAAGGTTTTGCACTCATTTTCTTGAATTGCTTGGACGGATGTTGACGTCTTAATAACTGTTAACGTTTATCCATTCATCGATCGTTATTATGAAAAAATAGAGTAGATAAAAAAGATATGTTCGTTTTCCTTTGGTGCTCTACATTCAGTTTAACACAACATGAGCTACAATTTACCTTGTTTAGTTAATAATGTACTCTCTGTTAGGCGAGCTTTTATTTGTACCCTGTTTCGCGAACCCACCGTTGTGCCTCGACTCTCTGTAGTCGGGTAGGTAATAAAGTTTTTCATGCTGCGATAGCATTTGCCATGAATAATATTCTTGAATAGGCCTAAAAAGTACCTCAGCCGGTGACGACTCCACTGAAGCAATATGCACGTCGTGAAGGTACCGTACTTTGACCAGGGCCCCTCCACTGAAGCAATATGCACGTCGTGAAGGTACCGTACTTTGACCAGGGCCCGGAGCAGGGAGGGGGTTGTTATGCCTCGACTATATCTCTGTAGTCGAGTATTTAATAAAGTTGAGAATAACCCTTAACGGTACTGATTGCTCAACCAAACTTGGTCTAGGAAACAGGCTGGTGGTAATAGGCCTGGTTGGTATGGTACATCAATGCCAGTACGTAATAATAATATTTGTATGTCATGATGTTCATTATCCTCGGCAGTAACTACAAACATCCTATGATTTAATTTTGGGTTTAAAATAACTGTAAAATAATACTCTTGTAACGAATGGGAAGATTCGTTTCTTAACTTTTTATTCTGCGAAAGCATTTGTCAGGAACAATATTCTTGACTAAGGCCTATGCCTAAAAAGTACTTCAGCCGGCGACGACTCCACTTCACTGGAGCAATATGCACTCGTGAAGGTACCGTACCTTTTCCTTGAAAAACTTCCAGGCTTTATTCCCACTATTCATTGGAAGTGTTTGAAAATTTAATTTTGGAACACTTCTAAGTGATTTACCAAATTATAACTCGCATTCCAACCAACATTTGCAACATCTATGATGTGACTTACATCAACAACACGCAGCCATAATCAATGCACTGTCGTCTCGCGAATCGCGATATCGATAGATTTAAACAAACCCTAATACCCACTATAAGTCACGTGACCCGAGCCGCCGATTCGGTCTACTAAAGAACGGCGAACTTACGGAATTTAAATATTTTGTTTATGTTATTCCACTTGATGATAACTTTTCGACATATATTTTAGGTATACACAATAATCACGTAAGAACATGGGGCCGTCACATGATAGTAAAATTCATACCAATACACTAGATTTGTTTTGAAGTAGTAACATAATAATATTAGAGCATAATGTTGTTGACAACCGAAACAAATTGGTATCGGTTTACCGGGTGTTCAGACACGAGGCCATTATGTGAGAAAAAAGTAATTAGTCAACTTTGCGAGCTGGACCATACCTTGAGCGCTTGAAACTTGTGTATAAAACACTATATTAATCAAATTATATTACAGTAAAATGTATTCTTATGTTGATTTTCTGACCCCCATGAAGAACTACAAATTCTCCAACGACGAATGAGTGGGATTTTAACAGCTGTCTTAATATTCATTAGAACACCCTCAGTTTATTTCAATCTCATAACATGCTGATTTCTGAACGGTTATTGGAAAACAAACCTATCTCATACTAAACAAGCCGGGAGGTGTACGCCTTCGCAACTTTACATCTTCGTAATAGGGAATGGTCTTATGTCGAAACAATATACGTTTGCTTACCATGGCTTCAGAATGTCGCTGCACTCTTATTTTCTAGAGTTGGTTTCTTATTGAACACACTGTGTGATGAAGCAAAATACTCTCAACACAACTTTGTTTATGCTCATCTTTCATCTTATCCCAAAGGGTATATATTTTAACTATCCCACCAATAAGTATTATTGCTTTATCACCATTATTCACGCCTAATATAATATCATTATCATTCACGCAGTTATGTCGCTGTTTCTATTTTCATGTAGGCCCTATCCTATATTTCATTATGTAAGTGGCAGATTTCCCTTTATTTAATAAATAAGATTTAATAAAAATGTTAATAGCTAAAATATATATATATATATATATGATAAGTATAAATATGACATATATGATATATATATTTATGTATATGATGTGTACTATATATATATATTATATATATACATATCATTATTATTATTATTAAGAATTAGGCTATGATTGTAGGCTCATCTGTCATAATATTTACTGCTCTAAATGTTTTTTTTTGTATGTCTGTAAGAAGAAATTGGGCCTAATTAAGTCAAACATAATTGATTAAACATTTTTATTTGAGAGATTTACACACAAAAAAATCTGCTGCTTCTCTACAGTCAACTTTTTTTCCTTAAATTTTACAGCACAATCCATCAAATAGTACTATTGCTATCGCTGAACACATAATTTAATGTAAACTAGAATGTTTTAATATAAACGAATCTTTTCACATGACAAAGTCGTGTCACTCATCCAATTTGTGATATATTAGGCGTTTAATGTATTGGGGTTTAAAAAAATAACTAAAATGTATTACCTACCGGTACATCTTCAGCTTTGTTCTTCTTTTTTTTTACCACGAGTTCCGATTGAAACAGACCGCAATGACATGTGGTGGTACGTACGCCTATTCTTATAAACTCAAGTATTCCCACTTCTCACTTCTGAAAGCTTAATATATGTCCGGCATTTGTAGTAAATAGTATGGATTTAATAACATTAAGTTTCATGATGTCAACTTTAATTTAAAGCATACTACTTTACCTTTTATTCACTTAGTAGGCTCTTTTAGTCTCTCTCCGACAACGTCAGATGCTCATTATTATCTTCTATTAATCATTTTAATCACTATCTCATGAAAACATTGATACAAAATATATACCTTTAAATACGCATGTACTGCTTATTCTTCTTTTTTTCAGTTTCCTTGTGTTAGTTGATTTAATAAACTATCTATTATCTAAGTTATTTAAGGATGCTGTCAGGAGATACATTTCATAGCAACAATCTGAAATTTAATTCAATGATTGCGAATTGTTGCTATGTTGGTACCATATTTTGTCCTGTTTTATATTCGTCTAATCGGCTAGTCAAGATATTTTTTGAAACATTACGATACACATTTTGATTTATTATACTCAAATCTTACATACATAAATATAAGTATATACTGGCGTATACTATAATACAAATAATGTACTTAATCTAAATTAATAACATTTGAGTTAAACAGTTCATATATGTAAATAAATAAAGTAATTAATATATTAAAATTTCAATAAAATAATACAGAAGTGTAGGCCTAAGCAGTTTGATCATATTCTGAAATTGAAAATATAAAATTTTACAAAAAGTGTAAGAAAACTGCAAGAGATTATTAGATATTATACGTGTAGGCTACTTATACTTGTATACTCTGGGATCAACTAACTTAACACTTAAGATTTGGGAGAATGTTGAAAAAGGGTCAGTGACAAAAATATGTTTTGATTTCATCAGAATACCTTTCTAGGGACAGGGAAAAAATAAATTGCTGAGCGATTTAGGCAGTTAGTCCTTGCATACAAATTCTTAAAACGTAAGGTATCTTGGTGAAATGAGTTTGATGCTTATAGTTTCACGAATACTTTTACAGTTGACAGAACCTATTAGTGCTTTACATTAAACTCATATTGAAAGAAATGTTCTTCCAGCAGAAAGACGAAGTCAATTAAATTTGAATCTATTTGAATATAATCCATCTCTCCATCTCATCTATTTCTTCTTGGTAGACCATGATTCTTGGTATAACGCACAGTGGTGCAAAATCAGTAAACAAAAAACAAAACACTACAGAAAACACTTTCACAGCCGTTGAAATAACAAACCACTGAAGAGCAAATACTTAATAAAGCTGAGTACAGAGATGGCAAACTAAAACATTGACTTGTTGCAGTTTAGCTGTGAAGTGACCAGATGCTAAGCCCACAGGCACAGTTTAGTCTCCTTGATGAAGAGACACTGCTAAATCTTACAGTTGAATACTGTGATAGACGGAGCATTTACATATTGAAGTCTGTACTGGGATGATAGATGAAAAGTTTATTTTTCTGTAAACTTCTGTCGTGGTTGCTATTGCATATTGGTGTTTATGCTTTTTCAGGGTTTGAATGGTGAAAGTAGCAGTACCTGTGTAATGGTTTTATTATTTGAGTGGGAATTTTTTTGTATTTGGGAGGATGAAGGAAGAAGGCTGTGAGTGTCATTTAAACTTAACAAATGACCAATCACCACAGGGCCAAATATACGGCATTGTCCCTTAAACGCAACTGTATTGCACAAACGCACGTATTTGCGTATGTTCAAGCTGACATTTTGTGAGACCATAACAACGATATCCCAGGGGTGGGTGAGTCTCAGCGGAAACGTGCATTATCTTCCCACTAATTAATAATATGGAAGTGACTCATGTGTAGTAATCCTAATTACTCAGAGTTAAAAGATCTGTAAAGCACAAGACATCCGCAATTCAGATAAAAGACATGAGTTGTCGCATCTTAAGATAAATCATGTATATATTCTGAAAAGACGCGATGACAAAACACACTTGTGGTGCACCTGTATTATTTGATAATATAATTGAATATGCATTTACTTAATAACTTTCTTTTAAAGTATATTTCTGTAAAAAAAATAATTCACCTAGAGCGTTAGGTGCAGATTGATGTAAATTGTTTGAAGTTCAATATTAATATTTATGAATGGTGTTGAATTCTATTAAAACAAAAAATGTTCTGGGATAATTATGCGAAGTGTAGTAACAGAATTATTCAACACTATTCGAGTTATATTGAAGTTGGGGCTAATCATCAAATATACATGTTTTCATGAATATGTTATGGTGATCTGGGTTTTACAGTAGCTTGAAGAAACTGTAAATACCAAACCCTTTTTTCTCATCATTCGTGATGTGTATAATTGATATCGCTATGGGTAGAGATTAGATGTAAGCCGTGTGCCATTATCTATATCTGGGTCAGAAGAACGCATGGACATTGTGTCAGTAATTCCGGATGAGTTGAAGGAAATGGATAGGCATCTGTTTAACAGCGTTTTTTTTTTCATTATGTGTGAAAGTTCGTGCGCCGTACATTTAGGATAAATGACGTTTGATTAGTGATGCTATCTTTGATAATAGTGATATGTATATATAGGTTTCCTCTTCTAACTGCTGAAGGTAAGACTTTAAAATTGATGGACTAACGGTATAAATTTGACAACTGGAGATTAGGTTATGTTGTGTTTGTGTCCTTACGCTTTTGTTGAACAAATTTGGATTACAATTAGAAAGGATTAACTAAGCGTATATCAGTATATGGACGTGTAGAAATATACTTACGTCATTATTTTATGTAGTCAAGCAACTTAGCAACATGATGAGGACGTTAATGCAAAAACCAATGCATGTTTCTCACAAGATATCACTACAACATTTCCAATGTTTAGCCATGGTTTTTAGCAAATGGCATGCCAAGTAAAGCCACAATTTTCTGAGGTGATTATAATTTTAACTAAAATTGCAATATTGGTGTTTGGATGTGACTTAAAGAACACTATTAACACCATTTTTTATGAGTATATTGAACATTGGAAAATCAATTTCATGTAAACCTTTTACGAAACAATAAATGGAAACTTGAACTTGAAGAATATCATTTAGTACTTATAGTTTGTTTGTATGATTTATCTGAAATAAGTCATTACACATTTTTGTTGTAAAAATAAAAGATTACTAAAATCATACACTATCACTATAATTGTTAATTAGCAATATGCTATAAATGTTACAATGTTTGTCATCTTAATGTAGGGTGTGATCATTAAGTTCTCCGAAACATACGCTAATGTGTTAACAGTACATCAATAATGTATTTTAATATTAAGAAACCGTAAAGAGGTTAATACAATGTCTTACTCTTAAAAAATTAAAA